CCCCTCCTTTTTTGGAGACAGAGCCACACTAAGTTGTCCAGGCTGTCCTCAAACTTAGTCCTCCTGCCTTCACCCCCGCAGTAGTTGGGATTACTGGCATGTGTGAAACGAATTTGAACCTCCAGCTCACACCAGTTCCTTAAACACTAGCCTCACACTTAATTAACTCTGGAGCACTGCCAAGTCCTGCTCAGGTACTTCCGATCCCGTCAAATGGCAACTCCATTCTTCCAGTTAGTGCTAAAAAAAACCCTGGTGTCATCTTTGGTTCTTTCATACTTCACGTCAACTCCATCAGTAAATCCTGCCATTATTTCCTTTCAAATAAAACCAGAATCTAATCTACCACTTCTTACCATTTTTCACCTGTCTCACAGCAAAGTCCTTCTGATATTTCACCTCTTTTCTTTCTACACACTCTGCTCTCACACAGCAGAGTGAGCCTTTTAAGAGTCAGTAGCACTCATATCTTAGTACACACTAATTGTTACCCATCTCAAAAGCTCTGGTGTTCCATAAGGCCCTATGTAAATCTCCACATCCATATTACCAGGCTGACGATGACTTTTTACATGGTAATTCTTTTCTGTCTTCCTTCTCCAGTATACCAAGTGTGTCTCTGCCTGAGGACTTTTCCACTATCATCCCTCTGCCTGGAATGCTCTTCCCCTTGGACCTATTTGACCTATATCATCCCTTCACGTCTGTATTTATTGCCTTATCTGTAAGGTCTTTCTTGAGAATATTAAATAATAGCATCCTACTATCATGTCTCTTACCTCATTCTATTTTTCTTCACCATTTGTGACAGTTATGTATTTGTTTTCCATGAGAATGAAAATTCCATGTCACACATCAGATAAACATTTGTTGAAAGGGTATTTACCAAAAGAAAATAGCAATGGGAATTCCAATGCACAAGAAGGAAAAGCATGATTCTATTTCTGCCTGTTTTCTGAAAGAACAAATGGTTATGTTTAGTCTTATCCTTAGAAATATGATGGAAGAAAGCTAGGTTATTACTAATACAGTTAAAATATTGTATTGTCACAGTTAACATTAAAAATACATAAATTTGCATATACAGTAAACCTTAAGCTATTTGCAAGCAGGCAAAAGACAATATTTCCATTAGTAGGTTAACACATTAATAAGAAGGACTATCAGCTCATAGGCTGTAGGTGATTAAGATCTTAATGTGATCCAATAGACTCACAAAGTAAAGTACTCAAGGCTGTAGTTGAGAAAGAGACTAAAAAGCTTCACTGCAATTTTTACAGGGTCACAAAATAAAGACACAGTCTCTGAAAGTTTCACCTGCCCCTTTTCATTTCTTTTTTCTCTATCCTTGCCTTCCTCTCAAACCCAACATGGTATAGTAGTTGAAAGTAGGAGTCTTAGAATTAATTTTATAATGTTGACCTGTAGCTACAGATGTCATTGAGCAGTAGTGGGACCTTGTGCAAATTCATAGACATACTTCCTCATATCTGAACTTGGCTTGAGAGAGAGAGTGCTGTTTGTGAAAAGTAAACAAAGTTGTGTAAATAATGCCCCCTAACATATGCATGCTCAATTATTAGGGGTTATCATTCATTTAAAAAGCTTTATCAAACTATTGTGTATCATGTCTTAGGAACATAGTATTAAGCAAAATAACTTGGTTTTTGCTGTTTTGGAGTTTACTATTTAATTACAGTATAGAAGAGAAGGTTTGTGGATGTGTGTTAATTCAAGTATGAGAATACACAGGACAACAGCAACAGAAGTTACAATTTGAAAAGTAGCCAAAAACCTCCAAGGCACCAGCATGTATGGTGTCCTTTTAGGAAGGTATAATGTAAAAAGTGTAATCAAGAAATTATATAAGAATTATTGCCTCATGTATTGACAATAGACGTGCTGTGTTTACCACACCTATGAACTTTTGTATGACCCAAGGGTAAAGGATGATACAGGTATTTATTTATCATGAGATCAAAGATGCAAAACATACAGCAGTATGGAAAAGAGTCCTTTAAGAGTTATCCTCAAAATACGAGTACCACTATATTGAGAAATCTTAATGTTACAGATGATTTCTTTATACCTAATGTTTAACATGTTTCATTCTTTTTTCTACTTACTAGAATATTTGACATTGATAGCTACTCTGCATTACCCTTCTCTTTTGGGGTGTGTGGTGCCACACACTGTTTTCTTTCTGCTTCTCTAACTATTCTTCTCGTTCCTTTTCATGCATTCATCCTCTTCTGCTCCACTGCAAACAGTGAGGTTTTTAAGAACCAATCCTTTGGAGGGGATACCAGTGAAAATGCCACATAGGGAACTCCATGGGCCCACTGTTTCACAAAAACATTAAGTGCGTTGGAAACAATTGTCAGAATTAACTTTATGTGAATGCTGAAAACAAGTCATTGACAAACACTTTAAGAAAAAGGTGACTGAATCTCGGAGAGTTTTGCATCATTTAAACTTATATTGTTTCATTCCAGTTCACTGGTTTTCAAAATATTGTTCATTTTTAGTCTTATAGCCATTTAGTAGCAATGAAAAAAGAAGATGTCTGTTGTACAATATGAGTAGTAATTGTGAGCAGGAATTTATTACATTCTAATATAGATCTTTTATAAATGCCATTTATTTATTTAAAAAGCTTCCTTTCTACCTTTTTTCATTTGTATACAATTTGCAAAACTAGTTTGAAAGCAGAATATAAATTCACAGAGAGTTCAAATTTAGGATATAGTAAATGCTTTACAAATTACTTTAAAAACTTGTCTGCTTCAACTTTTCATCTTTTCAAATCAAAATATTGATGCCAGCCTTCTAGGGGCTGATCAGACTACCTTATATCTGCTGCAGGGGGCGGTCAGCAAGGAATAAAGAAAGAGACACATTTCAGAGTACAAGGGGAGGACCAGGAGGAACCTGCCTCTGGTGGACAGACTCAACAGTCTCTCCAGTGGACCCACTTTTATTAGCAAGTGAAAGATGCTGGGGAAGTGGTCATTCAGAGGAGCAATACCAGTTGGAAATGTATTTTGAGAAACACTAAATAGGTTAAACTTTTATAAGGGGCGTGTATGGGAAAGGAATAGGTTCAACTTCACAATAAGGGAGTGTGTGAAAGGGATCGGGTTCTTCCCTATACCCAAATGCCTGCCCGTGTTAAAAAGGAACTAGCATTCCTTCACATTGTCCTGGGCAGATGTTATCCTACTACAGAAGCACTATTATTATGTATTATTCCCATACACAGCCAGAAAGTATGCAGCTTTCATGTGCTTCTCTGTTGCCCAAGGTAGGTCATATTGACCTCAGGACTGTGGGACACAATCTGGCCCCAGTAATTCCTCACCTAGCTTGGTCCCCAACACCAGCTTTCCCTCCACTGCCCACAACTATAAAGCATTTCTTAATCAGTTGAAATCAAGCACCATGCCTACTTGAAGAAAGAAAGGCTGAGACCATGGATAATATGAATGTTTGCGGGTGGCATCCTCGATGATTCGGGCTTCAGTGGACCATGAGTGATCCAGCTGCATAACTCACTGAGCTATCCTGCCAGTCTATACACTTATCAAAATAGAAAAGCTCATATCCCCTTCTTCGGGAGCTCTGTAATAGTATTTAATAACACCTCATCGGGGTATCTTCCATGTATAGTATTGTGGTATTTCTTCAAGTAATTGCTAAAAGATACTGAATCTAATTGTTTTATAATCCTTACACTCCTTTTATCTAGATGTTCAATGGATTTATAAATCTCCCCCGGGAGTCATCATAGTAACTGTAACAGAACCTTTGAGTATAATGGCAGAAATCAGAAGAAACCATAGAGAAATAACTAGGACATGCTAGATATTTACTGAAAAGGTTTTTGAATTCCTGTTCTTTTGACTCAGGGTTCCAACTGGTACAGGAATGATGGTAGACTCATCCATATGGCTTTCCACGGCTTCATCTATATAAAGCAAATGCATTTCAATATTGTTGTGTATTTGTCAGGAAGTCATAAGAAAGTGTTCAAATGGGAAGGGGAACAAGGAGAGAGGGAGAAAGGAAAGAAGGGACAAAAAAAAGTGAAAACAAGGGGGAAATGGAAACAGCTTTTGTACATAGGGAAGGGGGCTTAAAGGGGAATGGGATAAAATAAATTTTATTTTAAAATTTTTATTTAAAAAATGTATTTCATCTACCTGTAGAAACATGCATTCAAGAATTTCTCTCTCTCATAGTTCTCTGTAAATCTTTTGGTAAGCACAGCTGGGTGTAGTGGTGCATGCCTGTAATCCCAGCGTTTGGGGGGCTGAGGCAGGAGGATTACCCCGAGTTCAAGGCCAACCAGGGCTACATAGTTCAAGGCCTGTCTGAACTGCATAGTGAGACCCTGTCTCAAAACAAAAAACCCTTTTGGTCAGCATAAGGTCATGCAAAGATATCCTGTTTATATTCACGCTGGGAGGTGCACATCCACAGAAAGGCACATCATGAGGGCCACAGATGAAAATGCTCTGGGATGTATCCACTTGTTCGCAAGTATGGGCAGCACAACTCACAGTAAGTATCTCCTGCGTGAGTTTATTTTCATGTGTGCTGGCTCCTTCAAGGACTGGTATAAAGGCCTTGCTATGATTTCACCTGGCTCACAACTCTACTGAGGCAGAAAGGTGACTACCCACAGGGCATTTGTCAGAAATATTTTTATTAGCAACTACCATCTGTGACGATTACTGGGGTAGGGATAAGCATATCAAAAAGCCTATAAGGAAAAGCTATAGAGTAAGATATTTGGGGAAATAAAGGCTTTATAATTTCCACATATTTCTGCTAATAGGCCACATATACATAAAAGACGTAAGAAGACTCCAAACTCACTTTGCAGCAAAAACACATGGGTTGAAAGTGAAAAGGTGGTATTGTATCTTAAACAAATTCATTTCCTCACAGTTCTGGTAGCTAGGAGGTCCAAGATCAAGGCACTGGCAGATTCAGTTGTCTGATAAGGGCTCTCTGTTTCCAAGATGATGCCTCATGCTGAATCTTCCAAAGGGGAGGAATGCTGGGCCTTCACGTGGCAGAGGGAGAAGGGCAAAAAGGGATGAACCTCCGTTCCTCAAGCCCTTTTTTAAAAGTGCCCAATCTTATTCACAAATGAGGCATTCTCATGACCTAATTTCCTTTTAAACGTCCACTTCTTGCACCATCACAATTACCATTCGTATTTTAATACCTGAGTCTTGAAAGACCTTCAAAGCATTGCAGGTGGGAAAAGATACTCCAGAATATCTCAAGAACATTTGTGTGTGTGTGTGTGTGTGTGTGTGTGTGTGTGTGTGTGTGTGGTACCAGGGATCGAACTCAAGACCTTGCACTTGCCAGGCAGGCATGGTGCCACGTGTGTGTGTGGTACCAGGGATCGAACTCAAGACCTTGCACTTGCCAGGCAGGCATGGTGCCACTGAGCCACATCTCCAGCCCCAGCATGGAACATTATTCAGGATAAAACACATTGATCCATTAAAACATCTTAATTGGGGCCAGGGATTTAGCTCAGTGCTGGTGTGCCTGCCTCACAAGCACAAGGTCCTGAGTTTGATCCCTGGTAGTGGAATTTTTAAAATCTCAATAAATTTTATAAGATTGAAATTATACAGGGATTGAAGGGGATAAAATTTATTAAATAAAAGATTGGAGTTATACAAGGTTTTGACTTGAAATGTCCCTCAAAACTTACATGCTAAAGGCTTAGGTGCCAGTTGATGGGCTTCTGGAAGTATAATAATCCATTGATGAGTTTATAATTGGATGGTATTGGAGACAGCGGCAACTGAGGAGACGTAGTTAAAAGGAATGGTCATAGAGGTAGGACTCTGGGGTCTGGTCTGTCCCCTGCTCCTTCCCCCCACCCTCTCTCTCTCATCCTGGCCATGCCCACCCATCATGATGTTTCTGCCTTGCAATGGGACCAGCTGTCTATAGACTGAAGCCTTCCTCCTCCTCAAAGCTGATGTTCTCAGCCATGTCACTGCTACACGGACTGGCTTATGCACCAAGTATCTTTTCTGACTACAATGGGATGAAACTAGAACCAACACACCTTTAGTCTGCAAAAGAAATCACATGAGAAATTAGAAAATTGTTTGCAATTCATGTATGTAAAAGAACATATTAAAACTTATGGAATGCAGAGTGCTCAGAGGAAAATTTATAGCTGTAAATGCCTGAAAAAAACTAGAATCTGCAATGTAACCTTCTACCTTAAGGATCTAGAGTAAAAAGCAAGTTTAACCTAAACCTAGCATAAGGAATGAGATAAAAAAGATTGGAACAGGGCCGGGGATTTAGCTCAACGCGCTGTTCAGGGGCCTGTCTCACAAGCGCAAGGACCTGAGTTCGATCCCTGGTACAAAAAAAATAAAGATTGGAACAGAGATAAATGCAATAGTAAAAAACATTATAGAATCAGTGTAGCCCAAAGTTGGTTCTTTGAAAAGATCAATACAATTAACAAGCTTTAAAAAGACCAAGCTGGGCATGTGGCACATGCTTGTAATCCTAGCACTTGGGAGGCTGAGGCAGGAGGATTGCTGCAAGTTTGAGGTCAGCCTGAATTACATAGTAAGACTCTCAAAAAAGAAAAAGATGCAAATTATTAAAAATCAGGAATACGGTGGAAACAATACCAACCTTATAGAAAAAGATTGTAAGAAAATCCTATTAAGCAGGGGTATAGGGAAGAAATGAGAACCAAGAGCTGTCATGTAAAGGTACAAGATTTCCATGATGAATGTAACTGTACTGTGTACCTAAAAAGTACCAATAAACTCAATAAAAGAATCCTTTGAATTACTGTATGACAACAGATGAGATGACCTCAATGGAAGGGACAAGTTCCTGGAAGCACACCAACTCCCAAAACAGACTCGAAAAAATAGAACAGACGTAGCAATGATAGTAACAAAAACGAACTTGAGGGGTCAGGGACTTAGTGCAGGCAGTGGTGCTGCACCTGCCTCACAAACGCAAGGTCCTGAGTTTGATCTCCAGTACTGGGGGGAAGAAACAAAACAAAATTGAATCAGTAATCAAAAAACTTCCATGAAGGAACGATCCAGGCTCTGTGGTTTCAATAGTGACATCAAACATTTTAAAACTTTTTGTCTTTTTAAACTTGAAAAAATAAAGAGGGAATATGTTCTACTGGAATATGTTCTACTGAATCTATGATGTCAGCATTATCCTGATACCAAACCCAGACAAAGACATCGAAAGAAAATAGAACTACTTTACACAAAGGTCCTCAGTGAAAGTGAATCCAGGGGATGGGAGTGTGGCTCAGGGGTAGTGTTTATCTCCACATGCCTGAGGCCATGTTTGAAGTTTGAACCCCAGCACCGCCAAATGGGAAAGGTGTGTGTGTGAGTGTGTGTGTGTGTGTTTGTGTGTGTGTATTCGAATAGTCATTTCTCCTAAGAAGATACTTGTGGGGGCAGTGCTTGGCATTCTTACTCACTAATGGCTAATACGTACGTGGACTGGTACATAACAGGAGAAGTTACCAGGGAGTTAAAAATCAAAGCCACAACGAGATACTACTGCACACTCCCTAGAACGGCTACAATTACAAAGTGTTGGCAAGAATGCCAAGAAAGAGGAAGCTCCATAAATTTCTAGTGGGGATGTAAGATGATACATTTACTGTGGAATAAACAGTATGACAGGTCCTCGAACTTCTAAATACATAATTACCATATGACCCAACACGTCTTACAAATACATACTCAAAAGGGTCAGGGGTGTAGCTCAGTGGTGCCATTTGGCAAGTGCAAGGTCCTGAGTTCAACACCAGTACAAAAATATGTATATACACCTATATTCAAGAGAACATCAAAAGAGGTATTCAAACAAAAACTTGTACATGAATTTTTATAGCATCATTATTATTAGTAGCCAAAAAGAAGCCCAAATATCCATAAATAAGTGAATAGCTAAATTGTAGAATATCCACATAATGGAATATTACTCAACCATAAGCAAAAATGAAGTACTGGTACCTGCTGCAACATGGCTCAGCCTTGAAAACATCCTTTAAAAAAAGCCAGGTGACAAAAATCGACGAATCATATGGTGCCGTTTATGTGAAAAGTCTACAACAGGCAGGCCCATGGAGACAGCAAGCAGATTAGTTGTTTCCAGGGCCTGAAGAAAGGTAGGATAAGAGGCACGGGATTTCTTTTCTGAGTGATGAAAATGTTCAGATTTAGATAGTCATGATGGTTTCAAACACTGTGAATACATTAGAAGTCACTGAATTGTACACCCAAGTGATAAAATGCTGACTTTTTTATTTGAGCCCGGGTCTTGCTATGTAGTTCAGGCTGACCTCAAACTCAGTGTAGCCCAGGCTGGCCTCGAATTTGTTGCAATCCTCCTGCCTCAGCCTTTTAGGTGCTGAGATTACAGGCGTGCACCACCACATCCAGCAAAGTGGTGAATTTAATGTTACGAAGGAAACTAATGAGATTCCGAGGCAAGAGGATTGCAAGTTCAAGCCCTTCCTGACAATTTAGAGGCTTCCTGTTTCTTAAAATAAATATAAGGATGTGCAAAGGTCCTGGGTTCAAGCCTAAATACCACAGAAGTGAATACAACAACAACCAAAACTGAACCCTAGGGCAGTTTCTGTCTTTACTAACTGCTTTCTGTGTACTTAACCACTTCTGTGTATAATCACTGCTTGTACACGCACCAGGGGCAAATTGTTTCTCCAACCCTATCCCTTTCTGAGGTCCAGGCCTGGCTGCATAACTGCTTACTTGCTAACCCTTCCACATGTGTGCTGCCCAGGAAACTTTGACACATTCAAAGCCAAGCTCAATACCTGCCTTTCAGACTTGCTCACCTTTAAACGTTTTGTTTCCCTAAGGAATAAAGATAGTCATTGAGGGGTTACCATGTGTTAGATCTGAAATAAATATTACATTTATTAATTTACGTCGTCCTCACAAAGCCTCAGATTTCGTTGTTCATTCACTCTGCAGCCCGGGTTTGCCTTGAACTCCCAACAAACCCCTCGCCTCAGCCTCCCCGGTGCTGGGATTATAGGTGTCTGCTACCACGTCCAGCAAAACCTCAGATACTGTTATGTTCTCTTTTTTTCGGTGAAAAAATTGAGAGAGAATATCGCTCGTAGAAAGTATGCATCTTAGAAGTAAGGTTAGCTTTGAACAAAGGCATTGTGACTTCTCAGGTCCCGCGTTCCTGATAATCGAATTATACCATCACCTTTTCGCTGGAACCCCCTTGTCCCCTCCTCCTCTTCCGACCAGGCCCATTGATGGCTTCCTCAAGAGCCCATTTCATCTGGACTCCACCCAGTTGCTCTGTTAGGCCAGCCAAGTCCTCGCTGCCCGCTGCCGTCTGCGTAATGGCCTCTGAACGCAGCTGACCGCCTTCACTGAGAACAATCTAATGAAAAATGCAATTTTGTACCTCACAAGCGGGAAATTCATATTCTTCTCGTGCCCAAGGCCCATTCCCTGATATTAATCATACAGTTGACCTCATGAAAATCCCTAGTGAATTTCATAAGAAGAGAAATTGTTAGAAGCTGATCTTCAGATCTCAGGGCAATGAAACGATGTTAAAACTTACTTTTATTCTTCAATGCTTTTAACTGCTGGCTGATTGTCAGCCTCTCTCTCTCTCTCTCTTTTCTTTTTTTGGAGAAAGGGTCTCACAATGTAGTTTAGGCTGACTTTGCACTCACTATGGAATTCAGGCTGGCCTTGAACTCACGGCGAACCTCCTGCCTCAGCCTCCCAATTGCTGGGATTACAGGTGTGCACCACCATGCCTGGTTTGACTGTCAGTCTTTCCAAGCTGCTGCTTTAATTTCTTGGTGATTTGAATAGGTGCACTGGTGATGTTTCCAGTACCCTAATCTCCAGCTTCCTGGATACATACCTCTTTCGCTGTCCCTTGGCCACTCCCCAGTTAAATCTTCTTACTACTAGTAACTGGCAAGCCCTCGGTAATGTCAGTGACAAACAGCCCCTCTCTCACCAGAAGCTCCCATCTTTCCACCTCATCCCACTAGATCCCTACTTCCTAATACCTCTTCAGTCTCACTGGGAATTCCAATTTAGCCTATCACTGTTTAACTGCCCTCTGCGTGTTTCCTCTCCTGACCCTACATAAATTCTTTAGTCAGTCAATGATCACTACATTAGCCCCTTGATTTCATCTCCTACCAGGGAAACCCTAACACTTCTCAGGGTTTATCTATCCCACTGTCACTGTGGTTGACCATGACTGGAAGAATTCATGAACACTAATTTCATGGAATCTCAAAACACTGCCTGGTAAACATTTTCAAATTATTCACTCTTCCTTTTCCTTTTTTTTTTTTTCCTTTGAGACAGGGTCACTCTGTAGCCCAGGCCGGTCTTGAACTCACAGTGATCCTCCTGCCTCAGCCTCCTGAGTACTGGGGTTACAGGCGTGCACCACTATGCCTGGATTTCCTATCAATCCATTTGGACTGCTCTAAAAACAGCATGAACTGGATAGTTTACAAACTATAGAAATTTATTTCTCAGCGTTTTTGTTTTTGTGGCTGAGCAGTCCACAGTGCACTCGCGGGTTAAATGTGTGGTGAGGTTGGTAGATGGTGCCTTCTCAGGTGTCCTCACATGGGAGAAGAGAAGAGGGGTCTGCCTCAGAGTCCTCTCACAAGGATGCTTATCCCAATCCTGTGGGCCATGACCTAATCACCTCCTGATACAGGGGAAAAATAAGTAATTCCCAACCTGCCAGAAGTCAGAT